ATTTTACTCAAATTTTTTTTCTACATATTTAATGTGAAAAAGGTATCTAGACTTTGTTCATCCAACGACGGCATATTATGAATGTTCCTACTATCTTTCTTTCCACATAAATCTGTGTCTTCAATGGATTTCTAATGGGACAGCTGCATGCTATTTCCAGTTATGCGGTGGGAGGCCTTCAGAAGGGGTATTTATTGGTGCATTTCTTTCTGTCTTCGACAGCAGTGGTGACTCTCTTTTCCCTGATATCTCTATATTATCTCATCCCCTCCTTACGTTTTTATTTGGGGAAAATATATGGATTCATGACCATTTTAATTTTGTAATTCTTGCAAATGTGTTGTGGTTGTCTTCAGCTTATGTTATTCTGAAATTAGTACTTCACAATTGTATACACAGTATGCATAGAATTTATTTGTTCTCATTCAATAGGAAGCATTATATGTACTTTTTATGGAATAGTTGATAGTCTAAGGGGTGATACTGGAAAACAAGCTTGCCTACCTCTCCTTTAGTCCAATCTCATTTGTTTTTCTGTATCCTTGAATCTTGATCTTCCTGTACCAACCTCTTAGTTTTTGTATTATTTCATCTTTTTTTTGGTCTGCAGGTTTTGAAATTCTTGATGGAAAGAAATAGTATCAGTGCTCTTCATGGTCAAGTCGTGGTCGGCACTCTTATACTGCAGGTAATATGTGATATAATTTCTCACTTTGCAGAATCTATCACTGCTAGGTTTTGCTACTTAGCAATTAGTACTTAAACAGTAAGTGAAATTCAGGCTTATGATTTCACCTTATGTGACCTACTAGGACGTGCTGTTGGTTTGCTATTTGCTCTGCTTCCAGTTCTGGGTGGGGCTTCTGGTATTCTTCAAGGAGTAATATCCATGACTAAATCGTAAGCAACTGTTATGCAAAGTCATCCTGTCATATAAGTGCATGCAAATGTTTAGTTTATGGCTTTCACCTAAAGGATACGCAACTAGACACATGTTATCAGCACCAAAGAAGGGGGAAAAGGAGAGCAGATGCAACCAGTCTTCAAAGGCTGGTTGCTGGCCTGTTATAGCATTTTATTTACTTATCAAATAAAATAGTCATACGTGATTGTTAAACTAAGTAATACAAGTGGTTGGCTTGGTTGTGAGCAAGGAATTTATACACACTTCTGTAGTTCCCATTACTCAGCTGTGGGAAGTTAGAAACAGCATAGTTAATCTCTTGGGCACAGGAAAATGTGAACTGGATTTTACTTTCGAGTTTCTATTACTGCCTCGTCTCTCTTTTTACATACCAGTTCATTATCACAGGCTGGTGATTTTGCTTACGTTTTTGGCCACCTTGTCCATATTAGCACGTACGTGTTTACCATGGTTCCTGAAGCTTATGATAAGCCTATCTTCTCAGGTATTGATATATCTTCATTTGAATGCACTCTGGTGCTTTAATTTTAGAGATTGTTTTTGCTGAACAATTTCTGTTTGTCTCATTTCCTATCTTCTGCATCTTCCGTTTTATAGGATAGACTCATTCAAGTAAATATACATAAGTAAGAGAAACAGACTATCATCAACAAAGGAAGAGGGAACGTAAGCGGATTGGGGTTACCATCTTTGTTAATTGATACCTAACCCCCTAAATGTCTTCCCCGGGGGTCTGCAGTACATGCGTTCATGCTTACACAAGTCTATCTAATGACTGCCTTGAAGGATGGATATATTATGCATTTTTCTTTGTCATTTCAGTGGAGTGATAAGCTGGGTTTAAGCCTTGAACTGGGTTCCTTTGCGGCTGGAGTGATGATATCAACAACTGGTCTTGGTCAGCATACGTTGGAGCAAGTAAATTATTTTTTATTCGTTATGCACGGATAGCTGATACAGGCTTTACAAATTGTTCTTCTTGCATGCTTCATGATTGATGATTCTAGGAAATGTCCTACATAAGATTTCTACTATCATAGTAAACAATTTAACCGTGCTTGAGTTCTAAAACAATAGGATGTGAGATCCATTGAACATGTTTTGGTACATAGTATTGAATTTTTATCGTCAGTTTGTCATAATATTTCAATTCAATATTCTAATTTTACATTTCTGCTCTTATTTGCTGTCCCTGTCTTTCAGGTTGAACCCATTCGCAATTTCTTTGCTGCTCTTTTTCTCGCCAGCATTGGGATGTTAATACATGTTCATTTCCTTTGGAATCATGTTGATATTTTATTTGCAGCCGTTATATTGGTAATCATTGTAAAAACTGTAGTTGTTGGTAGCGTGGTCAAGGGATTTTGATACAATAACAAGACTTCCCTTCTTGTAAGATTTCAACACTGTTAACACAGCTTTATATTTATTTCGTGCATTTTATTGACGGCGGGGCCTTAGGTTATCCCATATGCGTAGGTTGGGATGTCTCTTACGCAAATCGGAGAATTTGCTTTTGTTCTTCTAAGCCGTGCCTCTAATCTTCATCTAGTTGAGGTGAGTGCTTCACCTATAAATTGCATTCCTAAGAAATTTTATAAAAGTTAACTTCCTTACAGACACCACCTAACCTCGGGATTTAACTTAAGCTTAGTGTAAAGGTGAAATTGGAACTGAAGGTTTATCACTATTGCAGGGTAAATTATATATATTGCTTCTAGGCACAACAGCTCTTAGTCTGGTATGTGAGACATCTCAAATGTTAATTGCGTCTCAGTTTGAGATGCATGTCCTGTTCAAATGAATATTTATTTTTGTAATCTAATGGTGCAGGTCACTACGCCATTGCTTTTCAAGATAATTCCTGCTGTTGTCCATCTTGAGGTGTTGCTGCGGTGGTTCTCCCTTGATAGCTTGAGCGAGGTAATCATCTGCACTTGAATGTTTACTTGATAAATTTCACCATGCAAATATCTGTCCACTTTACATTTCTTCCGCATAAAGCAAGTGTAAATTGAATATGATTTTCTCCTCCCAGAATGGATTTAAAGGAGATGGTTTTCGCTCTGACAGCACTAAGCGTCTTGCTATGATGCTCCAGGGATCTCATGATTTATAATATTAAACGAACAACGAACCAGAAAATGCACTTTACAGCCTTCACCTGATGGGGTTGTTAGTATTGAGGGGTGCAAAGGAGGTCGCTCGACTGACTGAAAAGTTTCTAAACTGTAAAGCTCCTCAAGTGAAACTTTCCATGCATCATATGACATCGCAAGAGTGAATCGTAATGCCACTTGAGACCGGGAAAATGAGAGCACTCCCGATGGCCAGCGCAAGAAAATTCTATTCTTTGTGAAATAGTGTTCATTTTGTAATTTAAATCGATCCCTCCCCCCTTCTCCGTTGAGGTTGATAATTTTTGGTTTTGTTTTGCCATTTTTCTTGTATATTTTTTCTTCCCTAGTTTAGAATCAGTGATGTACCCAAACTCAAATGTATAATTTGTTCTTATAATGATACCACAGTTTTCTTTTTCTTAATTTTGGGTTCTTGGGATTGTGTTTTCTTTCGCTAATTTGATTGGAAAATGTGTAAAAACTATGTCATTTGTATTTTCCTCAACACGGCTGGAGACATATTCTCGTTTTAGGTAGACAAATTCTATTGAGGCATAAAAGAGTACACAACGGCTGGAGAAAGATTATCTTGTCATCCATTCACCACATGACAACTGTCAGTTAAAAGAGTTGGAGAGAGATTATCTTGTCATCAATCCATCGTATGACAAGTGTTTGTTGAATAAAAAACGTCGCTAGACTTGTCTTAGTTGCAAGACAAAAATCTCTCCAACCTTTGAAACCTGAAAGTGAAGGCTTAAAATGTGAAATACATTCGTAAAGTTATGACTAGTTTTGTTTCTTTTGTTATGGGATCCATCTCTTCACTTCTTTTTTTCTTGCTTAATTACTCCTACTCATTTGATTTGAAGCCAAAACTGTTAGTCATATACCATGCAGAGATCTTAAGACTTGAAGCGTCCGTCCTTTAAGCTGAAAAGATGGTCGTTTCTGAAAATCTCACTTATTCAACTTTGATCTCATTTAGTGAGTGACCCTTTAACACAGTGATGAAAAGATGTTGAGCTATTGCATGACGGTGTGAGTTCAAATCCCGTCGGTAGCTAATCTAACAAAATCTATTGTTTGACCCAAAAAAAACTTTGATCTCATTAATTGACTGTTAATTATTTAATGTACAGTACCACCGTTTTTAGAAGTCCATTAGTTCGAAATGTGAAACTTAAAACATAAAAAATAAGCGGTTAACCAATCCGGTACTGGAATCCTAAAGTTTTAAGTTGTAAAGCAATCAATCTTGTAAATAAATTGGAGCAAAAGCTGGAGAAAACTAGAGTTTCGCAACACATCCGACCTTCACGTCGTATTATGAAAATAGGCAGAAACACAGAGAAAGATAAAGTGAAACCTGGCTGACAATTGTTAGGAACCTCTCTTCAACTTCACTCAATGTACAGTAAAGTATCTTTTATTATTGATAAACAACCATTAAAACAAATCCTTATTCTACCAACCACTTATTTATACTAACTAATATGTAACAAACCCAACAGCTTAACCCATATATCACTAAAAAAGACTTTGCGTGACGTAGGACCTTCGTCGCGCAAAGTCAAAAAACGTCGCGCAAACATTAGCCCAACGAATCTTCGTCGCGCCAAGGCAGTGAAAGCAGGGTTTGCGGGACGAAGGAGTGACCTGCGTCGCGCAAAATCACTTTGCGCGACGTAGGTCTTGCGTCGTGCAAAGTGCTTTTGCGCGACGTAAGTTATGCGTCGCGCGAAGTGGTTTTGCGCGACGCAATTTCTACGTCGCACAAAGTGATTTCGCGTGACGCAGGTCACTCCTTCGTCGCACAAACCCCTTTTCTTTTTTTTTTTACAAAGAATTTGTTTATTTAATTTTTAATAAATATTGTAATTAAATTCTAAACAATAATTAATAAACCAAGAAAAAGTATTTAATTATAAAATATATGAAAATGTACATACAAGATGTCCGAACAAAAAAGAAAAAACTACAAGTTTTCTAGGTTTAATACATCATACTACTGGGTATCGGCTGGGCGAAGTGGCTGGGAAGTCGAAGATGGAGCAAGATCAGGTGCTGGCATCGAGATTTGGAGGCTGGACATTGCTAAGGCCTGAACAATCATATTCATCCTCTCGTCCTGGGCCCTAATGTGCTCGTTCTGGGCCTCAAGCTGACCTTTTAGGGTTGTCACTTCCTCCTTCAGGGAATTGACCTCTCCTGTGGATGATCTGGAAGAGGAGGCACCCGTCTCACGAACCCCCGCCTTCCCCATACATCGAACAACCTTGCCATGACGAAAAGAGCTTCGAACCAAGGCAGCACGATTGATTAAAAAGAGTCAAATTGTAATTGTAACACATATGTAATATGCACTATTTTAAATGCATTTTCTCGAACTAATAAGGAGACACATGCAGAGATAAGAAAGGAAATGTTCAGTTATTACGTAAATATATAGAGCTATATATATATATATATATATCGAGCATTGCCAACAAACAGCAGTACAGTAATGGAGTCCGAGAAAATGGTTTTTGTAAGCAATAAGGCCACTCCAACAGCAATTGTAAATATTGGTTAAATATCACATCTCCCAGACTCCCTTGGTCTTATCCAAAATCATATCACAGCTGCATCCATGATACTCACAAGTATAATTGTGCACATTCTTAACTAAGTTTACAACTCAAACACTCATTAATTATGTAGCAGTTAACTAAATGATATTTACTCATATAGCTTCAGCCTAAATTAGAAATATATAGAGCTAGTTGATTGCAATTAAAAGAGTGTAGAAGAAAAAAAATTGTGCCAAAAGCTTATTTGTTTTGTTCTGTTCGTATCTTTGTTAGTGCCAAAAGCTTATTTGTTTTGCAATTAAAATGAGAATTTGATAATGTTAGAGAAAATTTAAACATTCATATAGCAAATTCAACAGACCCCAAATCATATCCAAATCAAGAAAGCAAAATGATAACCAGATTTCTCTAAACAATCGCAACTTGTTCTTTCCAACAGACAAATTGGGTGCAGAGGCAAAATTTTCAAAGCATAGCATAGAAAAGTACCTCCTTTAGAATTAAAGAAATTTGAAAGGCAGCAGAAGTTTAGTTCAATTGTTGCCAGCTTTGGAAAAGTTAAATACAGAAAGCGCTTTCTGCAGAAGTTCGAATCCAGTCCATTGTTCAACCATGTTGCAACTGGAAAACATAGATAGGAATCCCATAGCAGATTGACATGGACGCCTATGAAGCAATGTAAGTAAATATCAAGAATTCGATGCAAAATCACGAAAAACTAGTAAGCAAACCATTATAACATTGAAACTAAGCAAACAATTACTGCGTTGGGTTGGCACAGTTCAACAGCTACACATTTGGGTATAGATTAAAGAAAATTATAAATGCAAAATCGAAATTGAACACTATATTTGGGTGAAAAATCACCTGGGTTCTAAAATATAGTTGAATTTCAGACCAAATTGACAGAAAATATATCCAGATATCAACTTAACCAACAAAACCGGGAACTAAGATGCCCAAAGTTCAAGGTTTTCAAGCGGATTATGATATCAATTTTCAATTTCTACTAATAAATTAAACAAAGAAACATTCTTTACTATAACATCAACAGTTAAGTAGGAATTAAATGGATGAATCAAGTATCAGAATATTACATGTATTAAAGCTCAAAGTGCATGAACTTCCAATATGGATCAAAGGATTCAAATCCCATATGTGGAAAACTAGGACTGAACAAAACCCATGTAGTGAAATTTTGTAATAGGGAGGACAGACTAAGGATTCATGCTTTTAAGGTTCTTCGAGAAAACCCACCACAGAGATCATTAAATAGCTAAAACCCAGTTCTGGAAATATGAAATGGAATATTTATGGTATATATGAGAAGATGGGGTTTCCTGAATAGGGTTTTAGGGGATTGGGATTAGAAAAGTGGGAATCTCTACTGTGCTAAATATGGATTGCGGTTCCAGTGAGAAGTAGAGGACTTGTATTATACATCTGTATGTATGAATTTAAAATAAAAGATTAGAGAATACAGATACAGAAACAGAGAAGAGAGAAGAGATATGGAGGAGTGTAGAGTTGGTGATGGGCTGGAGGTCGTACCTGCAAGTCAAACTCATTTCTTTCGAGTTGGTGCTGGGATTCCTACCCTCACAAATGCTCACAAATCCTAAATCCTATCAAATCAGAACCTCAAACCCTATCAACTGAACAAAATCAACAGACCCACATAACATCAAACCTTCACAAATCCAAACCCTATCGAATCAGAACCAACCTCCAAAATCAGAAACCCTTACCTTGATTTTAGGGTTCACGGGAAAAAGAGAGGAAGATAAGAGGGAGATTTGGGGTCTAAGGGGAAAGAAAGAGGGACGGTTCAAGATTTAGAGGAGGAGCATCAGAAGTTCCTTGAAGCCTTGAAATTGTACGGCCAAGGTTGGCGTTGAATAGAAGGTATAAGCTCAGTGCCTCGTAACTTTGTCTAGATTCTGGGTTCATGGGAAAGAAAAAGGGAGGAGGGTTCAAGATTTTGTCCAAATTTGGAAAATTGAAAAAAACCGCCTATTTTTCACTATTGCACCACCAAAATTATCACAACTTGCGCGACGTAGGTGTATAATTTGACGTCGCGCAAAGTGGTTTTGCGCGACGACCACATTAAGGCGTCGCGCAAAGTATTTTTTTTTCAAATTATTATAAAAATTACTAAAAATGTGACTTTCTTCTTTTCAAATTCAAATTTTTTTTAGTAAGCCCCACAATAATATATTTTTCTAACAAAAACCCACAATAATTTTTTTTACATATATATCATTCAATTTCTTAAGTGCTATAAGTACAAAATAAATAAATTAAAATCCACTTAGTAAATATATATACCATTGAACTTGATGGGAAACGCATTGTACGAAACTAGTTTCAAAGATCCAACCGTCAAACTTGTTTGTATATACTTCGAGATCGCATACGCAAAAAATCGCAAAAAACAAACATGCAGAGATCAAGTAACGGGACAAAACTTTTTGACGGTTATAAACGAAAAAGCACGATTTAACGGTTATTTTAACTCTGATTTTGATGATTTTTTACAGCTACACTCTTTGATCCTATATGAATACAATAAATTAATTCGATTGCCAATTTAAAATATTTACACAAGTGGATACCACAAAATCTTATGTTATACTTAATGAAAGTATAAATAAACTCCAAGTGTTAGTGAATCTAATGTTTTGATGGGATACGCATTATACGAAACTAGTTTCAACGATCCAACCGTCAAACTTGTTTGTATATGCATCGAGATCGCATACACCAAAAATCACAAAAAACAAACATGCAGAGATCAAGTAACGGGACAAACCTTTTCGACGGCTATAAATGAAAAATCATGATTTAACGGTTATTTTAACTCCGATTTTGATGATTTTTTTACAGCTACACCCCTTGATCCTATATGAATACAATAAACTAATTCGATCGTCAATTTAAAATATTTACACGTGAATACTACAAAATCTTATGTTATACTTAATGAAAGTATAAATAAACTCCAAGTGTTAGTGAATATAATGTTTTGATCGGATACACATTGTACGAAACTAGTTTCAATGATCCAACCGTCAAACTTGTTTGCATATGTTTCAAGATCACATACGCCAAAAATCGCAAAAAAACAAACATGCAGAGATCAAGTAACAGGACAAACCTTTTCGACGGCTATAAATGAAAAATCACGATTTAATGGTTATTTTAACTCCGATTTTGATGATTTTTTAAAGCTACACTCCTTGATCCTATATGAATACAATGAACTAATTCGATCGTCAATTTAAAATATTTACAAAAGTGGATACCACAAAATCTTGTGTTATACTTAATGAAAGTATAAATAAACTCCAATTGTTAGTGAATTTAATGTTTTGCTGAGATACACATTGTACGAAACTAGTTTCAACAATCCAACCGTCAAACTTGTTTGTATATGCTTCGAGATCGTGTATGCCAAAAATCACAAAAAACAAACATGCAAAGATCAAGTAACGGGACAAACCTTTTCGACGGCTATAAATGAAAAATCACAATTTAATGGTTATTTTAACTCTGATTTTGATGATTTTTTACAGCTACACTCTTTAACCCTATATGAATACAATGAACTAATTCGATTGTCAATTTAAAACATTTACACAAGTGGATACCACAAAGAAAAAGGCAATGCAAGAACTCCCAAAAAAAAAAAAAAAAAAGCCTTTGCGCGACATAGGCACCATTGCGTCGCGCAAAGTGTTTTTTTTTTTTTTTTTTTGTTGCTTATGAGTACAAAATAAATAAATGAAAATGTACTTAGTAAATACATATACCATTGATTTTGATGGGAAAATTCATTGTATGAAATTAGTTTCAACGATCCAACCGTTAAACTTGTTTGTATAGCTTCGAGATCGTATCAGCAAAAAATTGCAAAAAAAAAAAAAAACATTCAATGATCAAGTAACAGGACAAAACTTTTCGACAGTTATAAATGAAAAATCACGATTTTACGATTATTTTAACTCTGATTTTGATGATTTTTTTACAGCTACACTCTTTAACCCTATATAAATACAATGAACTAATTCGATTATCAATTTAAAACATTTACATAAGTGGATACCACAAAAGAAAAAGGCAATGCAAGAAAAAACCCCAAAAAAAATTAAAAAAAAACTTTGCGCAACGAAGGTGCCTCTACGTCGCGCAAAACACTTTGCGCAACACAGTTGTACCTACGTCGCGCAAAGTCTTTTTTTTTTTTTTTTTTTTTTTGCCCCTTTTGCTTATGAGTACAAAATAAATAAATGAAAATGTACTTAGTAAATACATATACCATTGATTTTGATGGGAAACGCATTGTAAGAAATTAGTTTCAACGATCCAAATGTCAAACTTGTTTGTATATACTTCGAGATCACATACACCAAAAATCGCAAAAAAAAATCATTCAGGGATGAAGTAACAGGACAAAACTTTTCGACAGTTATAAATGAAAAATTATGATTTAACAGTTATTTTAACTCTGCTTTTGATGATTTTTTACATCTACACTCTTTAACCCTATATAAATACAATGAACTAATTCGATTATCAATTTAAAACATTTACACAAGTGGATACCACATAAGAAAAAGGCAATCCAAGAACCCCCTCCCCGAAAAAAAAAAAAACTTTGCACGACGAAGGTGCTTCTGTGCCGCGCAAAATGTCTTTGCGCGACATAGTTATACCTACGTCGCGCAAACTTTTTTTTTCTTTCTTTTTTTTTAACCTTGTTGCGTATGAGTACAAAATAAATAAATGAAAATGTACTTAGTAAATACATATACTATTGATTTTGATGAGAAACGCATTGTACAAAATTAGTGTCAACGATCCAACCATCAAACTTGTTTGTTTATATTTTGAGATCACATACGCCAAAAATCGCAAAAAAAAAAACATTCAGAGTTCAAGTAACGGGACAAAACTTTTCGACGGTTATAAATGAAAAATAACGATTTAATAGTTATTTTAACTCTAGTTTTGATGATTTTTTACAGCTACACTCTTTAACTCTATATGAATACAATGAACGAATTCCATCATCAATTTAAAACATTTACACAAGTGGGTACCACAAGAGAAAAAGGCAATGCAAGAACCCAAAAAAAAAAAAAAAAAAAAAGACTATGCACGACGCAAGTGCATGTACGTCGCGCAAAGTTGAAAAAAAAAATGGTAAAGTATTCTTTGTTTGGCGCCAAGATCTTGCGCAACGTTTGTGCGTTTCGCAAAAGGCCTTTGCACAACAATTCTTTGCGCGACGTCAGATTTCGTCGCGCAAAGATGTTTTGCGCGACGTAGGAACTTGTACGTCACGCAAAGCTGTTTTGCGCGACGCAGTCTAACGTCGCGCAAAGGCCGTTTGCGCTACGTTTTGTGTTTTGTGTCGCGCAAAACTACTTTGCGCGACGAAATTTGCTGCGTCGCGCAAGATTCCGTCGCGCAAACATGTTTTTCTACTAGTATATGTTACCACCAATAGAAACGTGTACTATCAAGATGATACCAATAATTGTAGGTTTCTGATCTTTAAGTTGACGAGTAGTGTTAGGTAGATAAACTTTTTAAACCATATTTGTAAATTATATGATGTAGCCATTAGTTGAAATTAAATACGTTAAACAATACTTAAATAATAATTCAATCATTAACAACTATATTATAAGATTTACAAAATATAGTTTAAATAAACAGATCATAGCATTACCCTAAGTTGACCAACTTATACACGAAAGCAAAAAATTAACCATTTCCCACCATCTTCCGGTTCATATATGTATGTTTATATTATATGTGTGTGTGTGTGTGTGCACGCATCCATGTATTCCTCGTGACTTAGTACAATATTAAGTAGGTGAAATTAATGACTAATCAATAAAAAAAAAAGTTTAAATCGTATCTTTACTATTTTTTGTAATGTGTGAACGCTGCAGTAGCGTATTAATCAATCCATGGATGGTAAGAAAACAAATCATGAAACGACTAAAGACAAAGAAACCATGGCAATTTCTCCATCAGTTCACTAATATAGTGGGTTAATCCACGTTCTACTGATAAAGATTGTTCACTAGTTTATTAAGCCAGCCTTAATTAATTGTGATTAAGAGGATGATGATCACCATCACATAATTAACATACATATATGTATATATATACACTTTAGCTTTTCTTTATAAAACATGTATATGTATATATATACACTATAGTTTTGCAAAACATATGATGATGCTTCTACGGAGAATTCTGTCTTTATTTGTCCCCTTGGTGATGTCATATGCTATCGGCTATAAATAAAGCTTGCTAGTTGTCATAAGATTTTTTCCTTCGTCTTGGCTTCATACCTCACATTCTTAGGGCTCCTTTTAATAACAATTTCGTTTTCAATTTTTATTTTTATATTAGAGCGGAGAAATACATGAAAAAAAAGGTTGGATGATGAGACAGATGTCAATGAAATATATAAGGATAAGAACATAAAACAAAAACTAAAAACCAAAAGCTATTTTAAGTTGTTTATAAGATTTTGTTTCGGTTCATTATTCTTCTTTTCTTCCCCTCCTTCCAATATCAATCTTCTTCACCCCTATTTTCTCCTATGTAATTTCCTCGTATTTGAAGTACTTAAAGCGGGAACTAAAAGCTGAAAAACGATGAGGTTATCAGACGGATCCTTAGTTTATTAATCATGGGTTCAAAACAAGATTAATAAATAAACAAATTGACATAATTAGACGTGTCGTGTATATAGATATGAAAATAATGGAAAGGATAATGAGGGTTGTGTCTGATACAAGAAACAAATTCGTATCCTCCACATGATTCACGTGACAATAAAGTGGATATGTGAGTTTTTGATGATTGTGTAAATAAGGCTCCAAACAATTTGACACCACATAGATAGTTACAGGGATTAAACAAGACAAAAGAAGTTTGTTGAAATGTCACTGTAATTTAAAAGAGATTATAAATGTGATAGATTGTATTCAACCAAGCAAGACAAATACCTTTAGAAATATAGACATCAAGACAGAAAGATCTGGATATCAAGGGACATGGTATTAATTCAGTTGTACTATTAAGGACCCAGTATCCTGTACAGGCAAGTAACCAAACAAAACAAAGTTCCCCACAGAAGGTCGAGGAGAAAGCTAGATTACAAACTAAAAAACTAGGTATAAATTTATTTATTTAAAGATTAAAACATATAGAGACATATATGTTGATCAAGGGAGTGGACAAAATCTTCAGTGTAACCATGAATATAGTGCGTTAGGATGATATGAATATCTCCTTTGATATGTAAAGATACGGTAGAAACTTCAATTAAAACAGTGATTATATATGCCGTAGCTACGTAACTTAAGTGATGAGTGCTATAGCATAATGGGAATATCTAAAGAAGAAGTTTTACCCAAAATCGATTGCCAATAGGAATGACATTAATTTTGATAAGCCATTGCAAGGATATAGTAGCTAGGTTTTCTTTTGAGCATGTGGACTAGCTTCTTTCTTCCGTATCTTTAAGAAAAAGAGAATACATACAAATATATATGTGCAAGCTTTGTGGTCACACAAATTAACAAGAACTTTGTTTGTCTTTGTAATCTTCATATGGAAAATGGATTTTCTTTGTCTCTCAAAATCTATATAGATTGTGCAACATGCCAGTCAAGACAGGGAAAGAAGAACAATCCAAGATTTTGGATCCCCATCAGAAAATAATAAAACAAGAGATTAATTTGGAGAAATATTCTTGATTGGTCAAGATATTGAAGTGTTTACTAGGCTGAGGTTAGACTTCTGAAAAATTCAAACTTTCACACAGATGTCTTGGGGTGTTGGGAAAGTTTTGTGATGTCAAAACTTTTGAGTCCATGGTTTTCCTGATTTCAGAAGTTTGCTTTCTGTTTCCTAGCATACAGTGTGTATTTTATTTCACATAATATTAGGGTTGAATTTCGAATGATGCATCAGTTTCCTCATTAATTTATATTACATTGACTTGATTAATAGTGAAGAACCTTTTTGTGATGGAGCAGCCAGTACATTAATTGTAAGGATGAGATTACATGGAAATTACAGAATATTGTAAGAGCCTAGTGAGATTACATGGAAATTACAGAATATTGTAAGAGCCTAGTGAGACTTGTGGCACGAATACACCACCAACGATGGTCAGTTCTAATTGTGTAATTTTATTTGTGAGTTTATTTCCACATGACGTTATATTATCAGCTAACACGTACGATAACAGTACACTCATCTCAGCGAAATTGTTCTCCTGTATCTAGCATACATGATTAAGTTTTCCTGCACAATCTTCACTGTTCTAGTACAGTATCTTGGACCTAGAAATTTACTACTGGGGGTAAGTCCAGCCAATTGTTCAGGATATTTATTATAAATTGTCCCAATTGACTCAAATTTATAATATTTCAGTATTCTGGTGCAGTAGTAGACTCGTAGTCCCCCACTCTATCCTTGGCTTGGACAAAATAATGCATCCCTTGCTTAGCTATGCTACATACAAGTAAAGCTTGTCGTTGAAAAGTATGTGGTTCCTATTTTTTGATAAAATTGGAGGGCAGATTCTTAACTGCTGTTTAACTAGCTAATTTTCTTTTACCCGGAAAGAAAAGAGCAATTATAACGTTCCGAAAACCCTAATATTTTTACGTAGACATGCATGTATTAGTTTCTCTCTCTTTCAAAACATATTGTAAGAGCTTTAGGGCTTGTTTGGAGATCCTTCTGAAATGACTAAAAGGTTTTTAGAGAAAAAAATTTGGGTCCCAAAAGCACTTAAGATGCTTCCTGCAAAAGGCATTAGTATGTGCTTCTTGCATGGAGCAATAAAGTTTTTTTTTCCATGATTTACTTGTCATTTTACTAAGGATTGATTCTAAAAGCATTTTTATCAAAAGCGCTTTCCGCCATTGGAAAAACACTTTCAAACGAGCCCATAGAACGTCTGACTATAATACGTACAACTCAATGGTATGTGTTTTATGCAAAACCTAATGCTTATAAAAATCATTAGATTTCTAAATGCAAAATTTAATTGTTGATTTCGTCACTCGATGGTACGTACCATGGACCAAAAATTGGGGGAGCTTGTGAAAAAATGTTATGACATATACCACTAAGAAAATGTATTTGTTCAGTTGATATAACTCCAGTTGTGTACACTTTTTGGTCACCAATCATTTGTGCAGGTTATGTTTGTGCATTAATATTACTATAATTACCCAGCCAAATTGGCATAAAGAAATCAAACTTTGTTAATAATTGGTGGATGAGATCACTGATCACCTCTGGTAGAAAGATCAATCTTGAAATCGTTTGTCATTTAAATTTGCTCATCAATACTTAATTAGGCCCTGGATTAATCTAAACCTAGTGGAAAAACCCATAAATGGTTTAGCTATATTCGATTTAATTAAGAGGTGTGCTATCCACACACCCTTTTTACTTCAAACACACTTTATTAATTTGTGGTCGTCGAATCAACTAAATTAAAAACAAGTGAAAGAATAAAAATTAACAAGGGGTGTGTGGATAGCACACCCCTTTAATTAATTCATGCAATCATCTATAGAGATAAATATAGATGTAATATACTTTGATAAATAATACGGTTAGTAGTATTCCTCTTCACTTATAAGTGAGATGTTTTAGATTCGATTCTCACCAAAGGCGAGTTTGAATCATATTATTACTAGCCCATTGTGAAGCTAAGCCTATCTCCTCTTTTTTAGTGTAGATAATATCGTTTGTTCAGAAAAAAAAAAAAAAAAAAGGAAATAAAATGCTTTTATAATATATTGTCATGCATCGATACATCCTCGTTTTATTCATCAAGAGAAAGGAAAAAAAAGGAATTAAAGAAAATAACGTTAATTAATAATCAATACATACTAATTATAAATCAAGTAAAAGTAGCCATGAATAATATATATTGTTCCTTCGGATCCTTCTTCAGCTGCCAGGGTTAACGTCAAAGTCACGTTCATTTCTGTAAATATTGTAGCCCAGTCCATCTCTTTTTTTATGTGACACTAATTGCTCCAAGATTAAGGAGGGGACCTGCTGGGGTTGGGGATGATTTATTTTTTTGTTCTAGATTAGGACTAGTTGGTGCAGCAAGCGTGAGCTCAAGATCCGGTACTACTGACGCTTTACTCGAAGATGAATTCGGTTTCATCTGGAAATCGATCAACCCGTAAATCCAAACCGGCCGCTGCTGAGTAGTAGTACTACGTCTTTGAGGTTTTTGACTGTGATCTAAGTTTAGATTTTTCGCTGCAATGCTATGTTCAAGCAGAGGCACTGTGCTGGAATCAATGGCCATGTTATTACAAATAATATTTTCACATTGAGTAGGAATTGGATCATCAGTTTCCATATTTATATTGTTGCTGCTTCCAAACTGTCATGACATGACTAACACAAAATTAATATTAAAATTCAATTCAGTCAGAGCCAACTGAAATGATTATATCAGACAACTCCTTAATTTGTTAGACAGAGAGAGGAGAAGGTTTAGTTAAGTACACACCATATCAAAGAGGCTAGAACGTCGCTTCTTTTTGGTCAGGCTTGCTTGCCTGAGAAAATACTTCTGAGCATGACTCGCAACTTGGGTTGGGGTTCTTGTGGTCACATAATTCCTAGAGATGCCTCTCCAGTCACCCTTTCCTAACTTCTCGAGTCCGATTAGGAACGTCCGGTGCTCCTCTTCCGTCCATGGAACTCCTGATAACATACATGAATAATGAGTATGCATGAGAGAAAATATATAATAAGGTGCCTGAAACTCAGTTTCCCTAAGCAAACAATAAATTGGTGATTAATTTTCAGAAAATTTGAAACGAAACTCCTACAAATTACTCTGGTGGTGCTATGGCGGTATTTAAGCAAATCAGGCATTGCCATGAATGACATGACAAGGCTCAATTGACTTGAAATACTACTATTTTGACATCTCAGTTGCAGATGAATTCTTCTCGGTCTTGAAACAACATATTGGAAAACAACAATCATAAATATGATGCATGCTCAAGAACACAAGTTTAAAGTAAAAACTCACATAATAGTGAAGATTTTGTTATTTCAAAAATTAACAAAACAATAGTAATATATTAAGTCATTAATTTGGAACTGACCCTTTTTCCTTTCTTGGGCTTGGCATATGAGACTGTCAGAGAGATAGCCGATGGAAGCTTTATCTGATGCGCAAATATTTTCATCCATGGAAAGTCTTGAAGGAGACAATGAAGAATTAGATGGGGAAGATGAAGAGGCTGACGACGTCGTCGTCGGCAAGCACTCCATGCTGAAACTTTTCTTCATGGACATGGAAACATGATGATTAGCAGAATTATTGTTCATGTTGGATGAAGACATCATGATATGATGATGATGATCACGATGAAGTTGGACGCCGAAGAGCCTAAATCCAACAAAACTAGTACTACTAGTAGTGCCTCTGAAATTTGCGCAGGTCCTAGAGTTGTGGCCTATGTTTCCACAATGTGAGCACTTTCTGCCCATCTTCAGCCGGACAATAATATTACGTGCTTCTCGCAACTTAATTCTCAAAATATATTACAGCCGACACCACCACAATTCCAACTAAATTCAGAGAGAGAGAGAGAGAGAGGACGAATGAGCACGGTGTTTGGTGGTACATATGATGATGGAGGTTGAGGGGGGGGTGGCGGGTGGGGGATTTGTTTTTGTGCACACCAAGAGAAGATGATTGGATGGACATTGTTTATTGTTTGGATATTTCCAACTTGGGTTCTAAACAAAATAAATTAAAACTAGTTGTATTACCTCTCTCTCTCACTCTCTCTCTCTCTCTCTCTCTCTCTCTCGATCACCTCATATATATAGAAGAGGAATATATATATATAAATCTTATCTTACACAGGAACTTTGGTCTTCTGGAGCTTGTAGGAATATCCTACGTACAATATTGTAGGGGACCGTATAGCTACTATACTATAGCTTTGTTTTCATTTTTAATTAGGCAAATAAATCATAGATATAGCTCTTATTAGCACTTTAGAAAAATCATTTCATACAAGTATGTGAAGACATAAGAGAGGAAATCCACTTTAGAGGAGTAATGCATGATGAGTGTTTTAAGGTCGTGCTATCCACACATCTTTTTTTTACCTACCACACATCTTATGTTAATTTATGTCTTTGATCTTCTTTAATTGATTCAATCCAACAATTAGAAATTGAAGAGGATGTGTGAAAATATTATGTTTCTATTTCTTTATTAAGACAAAAGTAGTCGAACTTGAAATATCCGAACTATATTCGTTTTTATTTATTGTGTAAATGATTAATTTGCTACGAGTTAGGAAGACACTATAATTGGCTTAGGAAATGAACAATATCTTGGAAGTAGGTTGATGAGAAATATCACAGAAAAGGAACCCCCTTCAAAAGTTTATATGTTGATCTACCCATGTTGCAGTTTATTAGGAAATTAACTCATAGAGAAACAACATTCCATACAATCAAAGAGATCGAACAGGGAAAAAACACAGACACAATATTATTCATCCTTTCAATTCATATATAATATACATTTCAGTAACTTCATAGTTAGTTCCACCAAAAATTGAGGATGTTAGCTTCTTTGTGATAAGTCAACAGCTATACACATGCTTAAATGTTACGCATTAAGAGACTAATACCAATATTTTAGGGAAGAAGAAACCAAAATATCATGCCCTCTTGATTCAACCATTCAGATTATTGGACCAAAATGTTCAAAAAGATTGAACTACAAATTAATGATTTGATTATGATCACAATCACAATCACAATAATTTGATTTCAAACTCCAAAGCAATCCAAATCACTAAAAATCTATATGATCAATCTAAATCATCTAAGCTATCAAGTCTTACCTAACTCTCTCTTTAATTATCCTTGAATCTAAGATAAAGAACACTACAATACTGCAGTTTACATTTCGGATCAGTGACACTACTTTTTTTATACAATATTTGATATATGTTTTTGTGAGGTACACTTCATAATGTATTTCAATGATCCGAACTATTTATCTTTTAGATCTTCCCCAGAAGTCATGTCTACCAAAATTATCCAAATCTGAAATCATATGACCGTAACCATTGGATTAAGTGTTTAGGTTCTTTATAGAATCATATATATTCAACCATTTTCTTCACTGCAAATGAATGTCTTAATGCCTTTGGATTCGTCTAATTTTTTCCAAGGATGATCTATGAATGATATTCTAAAAGATAGAAGATTTAAATTGTTAAACTACATTACGGAGTGCGGCACACAAAAACGTATATAAAAAATTGTTTTAAAAAGTCCTTTAACAAGGGATCCCCATTTAAAAAAAAAAAATGGGGACACCCTCTTGACCGTTAGATTTGACTTTAATGAAATTGTGTGGTTGAGATTGTGTGGCCTTTGATTTAATCTCAACCACATACTATCATTAAAGTCAATCCAACGGTCAAGTGGGTGTCCTCATTAAAAAAAAAAAAATGAGGATCCCTCTTGTTAAAGGGCCTATATATATAATCAATAAATAATTAGTGGCTAATGACTTTAGCTTAGGTACCATAATCGTCAAACAGAATATATAGATTAGAATCCTTAGTTTTGATATGAGGAAATAGTATATTCCATTTCCTATATTGGTAAACCATTACGAGTACTTCAAATCTAGTTAGGGACTCGAGGAGATCGTTTAATATATACAGTTTAATTAAATATTAGATAGACATATATCTCACCCCAACTAATTTTGTCTTAAGGTTATTATTAAGATTTTTAATTAAGCTAGTTGGAGAAAAATATATATTCCAATGTATGAGGAGGCGGCCAAGTTGAAAATTGTTTAGTCCTTTATATGTCTAAACCATGAAACTCTTCTAAGTTCCAATATTTATTCATACTATTTTTATGTATTTGGCATTGTTTGTAGAAAGGAATCTTCCTTCTTATGAAACTAGAGGATAATGGTCATTGGCGAAGTTTTCTAATCTTGTTTTGTTTAAGTATTAAGTCACTTGATTGTTTTTATAGGGGATGACACCACTTTTTTAACTTTTTTAAATAACTTTTGACACATTTTTATGAAGCCCACTTTGTAATGTATTTTAAAGATCTGAACTGTCTATCTTTAGATCTTCTCTCAAAGATCGTGTCTACCAAAAATCATCCAAATATAAAACATATGACCGTTGGTTTAAGAATTTAGGGTTTCTTTGTAAAACAGTATAATTGATTCATTTATTCACTCCAAATGAATGTCTTAATGGTTTTGGATTTGTCTCATTTTTTGCAATGATGATCTATAAATAATGTTCTAAAATATAAACAATTCAAATCATTAAACTACATACAGAGTATACATTGTGTAAGAAAAATGATGATACAGATCAGTAACCATATTAATAATCTCTTGAAACTTACTTTTTCTAATCTCATATATTCCATTTTGTTAATCATTGTTTGATCAATTAACTAGGATCGCGAGGCCTCTCAATGTCTCATTTTTAATTTTATTATAGTGCTTTTTTTTTTTTTTTGAATTATTAACGTTTCTGCCAAATCTCAATTTGTCTGCATCATTGCAAGAGGACCCAAATAAATTGACACTTCAATGTAGTAAAATGTGGTGTTGTTTTATCACATTATTATGTTATTAAATAGTGATTTTGATTGGTGCTTTTCACAAATAAACTCCTCAAAACTCCATTTTATAGTTCAAACAAAAAAACCCTGAAACTATATTGAAGAACAAAGAATTCTGGAACTCAACTTTCATTGCCTCTGACATTAACAATTGATACATGAGGAGTTTTTATCTTTATAATATGATTCGTAAAGTGTTTCTCATGAACATTAACAATTTTTAAGTTACTCACTTTCTCACATCTACTTCTGATAACTACGCAAAACACATGCAGAACATGTGTTTCCACCCCTAGTTAAGTATTTTGAGGGATCTAATTGATTAAATTCCCTTGCATTGTTAAACTTGTCCCCCTTTATCAAATGGTAGGGTGGTTTGGATTCTGGTCTATGAGCTAGTGCTGGAATAATGGTGAACTTGAGATCTCAGCTTCAATGAAAGTACTTCTGAAAGTACCAACTTGAACACATCTTTGAATATTAAAGCATATATGTTTTCCATATATCTTCTCCCCAACTTTAACTATAAACTTTGGTGTGCTTGCTAAATCATGTTCAAATTATACAAAATCTGATGCAGATTGATTGAAAATCATTATGTTTGTTCCATAATTGCTCAAAAGGCATCAACTTTATGAAAAATAAATGGGCATAAAATATATCTAAAGTGTAGCCGTCAGCCTGAGTTGCTGAAGTACAAAACCTACCCATATCTGCTTTTGGTGTCTATTAACAAATTATAAAGGGAAAAGGGGAATTGGGGTTGTTTAACTAGCATTCATCCACTGATGAGTACAAAAATATTTTTCTAGGTGATCAAGAAATGTATGACTATTTACAATTGGATTTGATATTAAATCTAGAGATTAAATGAATGTGCTTTTAATTAGTGGTTTAAATCATTTGTTTTTAATTAGTAGTTTATCTCAAGCTTTGGTATCAAAGTCAGCAGTTATGACTATGAATCCTTGATCACCAAGTGACCAAGAAAACGAGCATCTTGATGATATATAACATGAAAAAGGAGCACAACATTTGAAGTGGTTCAAAGATTATTCTAGGTAGACTAAATTTGGAAACTAAATAATGTGTCACTAATTAGAAATAAGCACGTTAATCATTATTTAAGTAATAATTCAATCATCAACTTCCATGTCATTTAGATTGCAAAATTTAGTCCACAAATTTAATCTCTCTAGCATTACCCGTAGTTTGGTGGCTATCCCACATTGGCCAAGGGGAAGAACAAAAAAGAGTTTAAATAAGGTTACCTCATTCCTACTAATACTGAGACCTTTTGTGATAAAACTTCATACCTAACAAATTAAGCATACGTTAATTACCAAGTTGAGAATCAATGTTGTTGGATGTGGGGCGCTTGGGCCACCTCTCTTAAATTTCCACATGGATGGGGTGTGCTATCCACACACCTCATTTTACTTCTCATACCACACACCTCATTTTACTTCTCATACACCCCTTAATAATTTATATATGTTGATCTTCTTCAATTCATCCGATCCGACGACCGAAAATTAAAAGAATGTGTGAAAAGTAAAATGAGGTGTGTGGATATCACACCCTAGTTCAAATATGGAAGAAAATGAAAAGGTTAAAAGAACGGACAAGGCCTCAAGATGGGTCAAATTCAATCCCGAGGGTGTCAACTGCTCTTTAATTTTTCATATCCCCTTATCTTGATATTATCATCATTAAGCTTTCCATTAGTGCTATAGATTACATCACATGCCATAATCCGGCATTATTAGCTACAACTACAAAAAAATTAAAAGATATGGAGTACTTGAAGTTAATATAAGACATGACGCAAAACTAAAGGCAATGATGTTCTATGATTCATACAACTGGTCCCATTTAGTTGAATTAGACTTAATTGTTGTTGTTGATTTGGTTGTTTATTTTTATTTTATTTTATTTATTTGTTGATGCAATAAAATAAAACTACAAGCCTTGTTTTTTGGTCACCATGTAACCAAAGATTCATGGTAATCTACTTATGAATTTAACATTAAGGGTTGAGATTCAAACGCTAAAAGCACTACTTTTTCATCTTTGATAAAGGGAATAATCATGCATTCTTTGATCACTTGGTGATCACGAGAATATTTTTGTTCTAATATTC